TCTTTCTTTTTATATCTAACTACCTTCTAGTTCCTAGCGCCCATCCTCGATTTCCAGGGGTTACACTCACGTTCGATCTCTACACCCCTGGACTATGTCATGGCAAAATTGAAGGCTCGATGTGCGCCACATTGTTGATGAGACAAGACGACTAGTTCAATCCTTTGATGTACATCAAAAGAATCTCGCGGTCACGTAACGGTATAAATTGACAGGCTTTGAAGTGGGGCGTCTCTCCTTTGTAATCTTCAAAGGACGGATATCAGCCTAGCGATTGGTGAGTTGTTTTTACCTGAGACCAATCAAACAGCTATCTTCGTGCCTTCCATTTTGCCATGACATATTCCAGGGGTGTAGAGAGCGAAAGTAAGCGTAACCCCTGGATATCATGGAAGCCCAGAGCCTTACTTAGCAAAACCTTACTTTTGGCTTGAATGTTGAGCGTTCGCCAAGGTTAGGAAGACAATGGGGTTTTTCCCCAGGCCGGGACATACCAACGTCCTTAAATGGAAGTTGTTTTACCCTGCTTAACGTTTAACATTAAGGGGAATGGCAACAACTGGTTCATCTGTTGTAAGTATAATGTGACCGGTCGGAATTCTGTGCTTGGTGCCTTCGGCATGGCATTCAGTGAGATAGCGCGGATCTGCCGACTTTATAGTGCTATCACAAGGAGGCCGGCACACCAACATACCCCGTCTCCTGCATACACACACGCATGCACGCACACACTACACACATGAAGGCACGTCCTTAAATTACCTAAGCTGTTAATAGGTCGTTAAACAAAATTAATCAAACCAAACTTGTTGATAATTGCATATGTGTTACCTTTATACAAGATCCCCTGACCCGTTTTTTATAGATATCCTGACTTTTTAATGTTTATTTACCCAGCAGCAAAGAGGAATATTCTATCACTATTTATTTCTTTTCGGTTGTGTCATCCTTGGCACCGTTTCATTTGCTTTTTTTTAATCTTGAACGAGTAGCAAGGGAGACAACACAGAATGTGGATGGTAGACATACCGTCTTGGTAGCTAAACATTTGAAACATGCTACACATAAACTCGATGTTGACCCAAAACATAATGTCAAAATTGGTACTCGAGTCCATACACCAGAGAAGAGAGGACATTCATATCTACATCCCCCTAACAAATATACTTTATACATTAACAAAAGAAAAAAGCGAAGGGACACACATGCAAAACAACTATATTAAACGTTGCCATCTCCATATTTTACAACCACCAGTTAAAATGTGGGGTCAGAAACCATTTTTGTCTGTTGATACTCTTCCAAGTTATATCTATCCGATTGGCTTCAACTAAAAGAACGCATCAATATAACAAACTGAAATGGCTATTACGATATGCAAAAGGGTGCATCAGACAAAATCAGCTTCAAAACGGCAAAAGCTGCAGACTAGAAATGAAGTGTAGGAGTAATTTATTGACATGAGCCCGGGTCCCGGTCTGTGAACCCCTCTGCCAATGCTGGATCACGTTTCCGGATGTCATCATACACAAATGTGTGGACCGGATTAATATTCCCATTAACTGATTGTACAGCCTGGAATATACACGAAATATTCATTTTCTTTATATTTCGAGATCATCATTTCTGAGACGAGTTAATCTTCTAAAATGTTTTTGGTAATAAGGTATTGACCGTATTTCGACGGTCTTATTACATATAAGATCATTTTAACTATCAGGGTTACTATAGATCCTCATGCCGTTAACAGATAGGTATATGATACCAATGTCGTGACGAGTTGTAGCACGAGCTGTCTCAGAAAACACATCTTTTATCTTTATGTTAATTAAGCAGTCGATATTCCCTTCACTTGAAGTTCATTCAAGCCTTATAACGTGTATATCTATCTATGTATATTTATCAGCTTTTGTTGGCACCGTGAGATATGCGGGACTATCTGTGTTTCCCATATCATCTAAAACAAAATCTCGTTTTTTCTCTTCCTCTTTGTGTTCAGTTTTAACACCCTCGCAACAATTTTGGTCATAAAACGATATGTGCTTAAGAAGACACCATTGTAGAGAGTAAATAAAAAAGAAAGAGAGGAAGTAGAAATTAAAGGGACAAGAAATAAATTCCAAGTGATGCAGCTAGCGTTTGCTAACTGTACTACCGTTATAACGAACGATTGAGATCACATGGGGAGATTTAGTTTTGTTATATTTTGATTAACATCCTTTTAATAATTAAGGTAATTTAAGGACGTTCCTCCAAGTGTGTTGCGTATTCGTGCATGTGTGTATATGTGCCGGAGAAGAGAAAACATAAAATATACACTAGGTATTGCAATAAGAGCATCAAACCTTTATTTTGCAAGCATTTCCTTAATAGATGACATAATAGGAAACCCACAATTGTGCAGGGGCCCGCTTTAGACGCCTTTTACGACATGCAACCGCATAAAGCAGGTTTTTTTTCTTGATCGATTCTGCATAGGGTTCCACAAATAAGTCAAAATTGTATGAAAATAGAATGTACAGCAGGAGACACACCTTTTAATTTGTCGTGACTATAGTGCTCTACCGAACCAAATAACAAACCTTTAGATTTTTATTAATAAGGCAAAATGTACAAATCAATAAGACACAACAGGTAATTTTGCATCGAGTGTTTTGAGCTATTTAGAGAAGACGTATTTAATCTTAAACCATGGAACCTGATGTCAATCACATCGAACCTTGTTCATGTTGGGACTTAGACAATTGGAAATTCCAGCACTGTTTCACTCTGACTTCTAATATAAGCATTCTTTGTAGCGGGCGTTGCTAACTCACATTGCAATCCTTTACGCACAGAAATTCTGACCGTATCAATGCAATACCATTGTTTCACTTCACTAACGAACACACCAACGAATCCACATTCAGGATGAAAACGACAGATAGGTTATATTCTAATATATCCTGCTTTAACATGATCAGTAAACGTTATTTCCGCGTGGAAGTGTTAATATCGCACGCGACAACACTACAGTATACCGAAAACCATTGCTGATAAATCCAGATATACAAACTTTTGTATAATTTATCGTCAATTACTTCTGACAGATGTGTCTAGACCCTGTGATTTTTCTATTTGTTATGGTTTGTACAAGGCTATTGCTGCGCTGTATTTTGTAGTTCAACAGTAATTATATACTTCAAATGTTATCTGTTGAAGGGACATTCATTCCGGGTTCAGTTTTATTTTATTAGCTTAAACGTCAAATAAAAAGCTTAAATCATTTAAGAACGTGCCTCCATGTGTGTTATGTTTGCATACATCTATGCTTGGTTTTATATATTGAAGTATGTACCTCATTGCGATAGCGTGAATCTGATTCAGTGACTAAAGGAGTCGGTTTAGACAGGTTATATTTGATATCTTTAAAATAAGGCTCTGCTTTGACAAAATATTGGAATAAATTAATGAAGTCATATGTACCACTCATAATTCGGATGGAATCATGCATAGGATCTTAGTGTTTGAGTGAACTAGATTACCAAGAGCAAGTGACCCCATACTTAAAGGTGAAAACTGGTTAAATACTAATATCTAAGGTGTACGAGTAGTGTGAACGCTATACTTTATGAAAAAAGTATATATGTATGTGCTTAGTAATGGTTTTCAAAGTGACTCGATCATGAAGGTGTTTTTGAAAAATGCTATCAGTTGCTTTGTGAAGAAGATTATTATATATCAGAAAAAAAGAGTTATACATTAGTTTCGACATACGAGGTATGCCATTGCGATTCATATAATGGTTCATTTTCAAACACATTTAGAAGTCAATAGCATTCAGGGCTTGTTTTTTATATCATACTTTCATACTTTATTTGCCAATAACAAAATCTTAATTGAAAAAAAAATCTGGAATATCTGTTATCTACTTTTCTCCTGACATTGACATCTGTCGCTGTATAGATACATACATAGCTCCAATCCATGTGTTACTTTGATATAGGAAATACTTTGTCTTGTGTATGAATCAAATATGGAAGGTACAATTCAGGGAAACAATATAACAATAGATTCATTTGCTTTACTGATGGTTGGTTATTATATTTTTCTAACTCGAGTGTGTTAATTTTCAAATTGTATAAAGACACGAAGTTTACCGAGGTATTCTTCAATTTGAAAATGAACTAATGAGAGTTACATAAACGTGATTATTAATCATCACGAGTTTAGGGACATGTTTCTCCCCTAACGTTCGTATTTTCTCTGAAAAACGACTTTTTCCCCTCTGAAAACACATCATGTGTTTTTCCGATGAGGAAAACAATTACCATGAGGCATGATGTCTCAATGGAAAATGACATAGAAAAAGATTGTTACATTACGTCATAAATAACAGATTGACCAATGAAATCATGTACAAGATGTTACCAAAACGTGGGTAACCAAAATTGTTTACCATCTCCTAGCAGGTTTATCCAATGAGTCATGAGTGAGGAAACGTACAGTGGTTGTGGGAGAAACAATACTTCCAACTTTACTTAAAGGCATGACGAGAGAAATTTGTATCGTTTCCTTAACGTTATATGATGAGTTAGATTTGATACGTCGAAAAATCAGTAGCCCATTATTGATTTAAGTGATTAAACAAGGTTGATTTCCTACAAAAAGTTATACTTTATATGTTTCTTTGATAATGAATATTAAAATGGATTAGCAATGATCCGTTTGTCTTGAAATTGAATAAAACGTGTCGAACGTATGTGGGTGTTAACTTTGTGGAAAATTGTTTCGACTTACTTTCCAATGCGATGGTGCATTAATACCGATGACAATAAAAAAAAAAAATAACAATAATAAATAATGAAAATGGTATTTTTTAATCTAGATACTAAAACAAACGTTTTTGAATAAGTATAATTATCTGTACATCATGATTACTATCTGTCCGCTCAAAGTCACAACATGAGACGACTTACGTCTGCGTTTATTTGTAACTTTTAACCTCTCTGTCGTTTCAGATAAAGCAACGGCAACAAGAACAACAATTGAAAGTTAGAACTTCACAAGCGCAAAGACACCTGAAGATGTCGGAAGAAGAGGAAACGGTCTCCAAAGAGCAGCTGTATACAGCAATAGGAATGTTGGCGGTTTTTTCCGTTGTTGGCGTCATCGGCAACGCTCTTGTTCTGTACGTATTTTCAAATTTCAAACAGAAACTGACTTCGACTATCTTCATTCTAACATTAGCCGGAACGGACTTCATCACCTGCTTAATCACCATACCGTATACCATAGTGGTAGAGATCCTAGAATATTCATTATATTATAACATTGTGTGTCAAATCTATCAGTTTTTGATTACGACAACGGTCCCGTTTTCGGCTTTTGTTATGGTAGCCATTGCCGTAGACCGGTATTTATGCATCTGTCATCCGTTCCGGCACGCTATGACGATCCGAAGGGCGGAGTACATCGTCGCTGTCTTATGCGCCCTTGCGGTCATGCTCGGAATATTGTGTTGTTTGAACTACGGAGTATTGGATATGTATGCGGATATTCCAGTTTCTAATTCTTCGTCCAAGAACGGTACAACAATGTACAACAGTTCTACATTGTTATCTGGCCATTTCGCTACAGGGAATGCGATTCACAATGCCACCAACTTCACATATGACCAACCAGTGCTAACGGAACGTGTCCTGATACAAGCTGGAGTGTGTATGCCCATTAGCATGGACAACCCATTTTTCCATGTCTATCAGAAGATTTATTCAAGTTTCTTCGCAATTTGTGCAGTCATCGTCATGGTCCTTTACGCTATTATCTACCGTTCTGTGTTGGCAAGGCGACGACAAAGGTTAAAGATCGTCACCAACAAATGCTGTGGTTTCTGGAATGCTATTCCGAACGAGACTGAAACCACAGAAATATCTACATTAACAAACGTATCTGATGTTCCTGACGTAGAAAAACATGACAAATCTGTACAAAAGAATGGAACGAATTCGTCCACGCCACAACCGGGTGAAAAAGATGTTATAATTCGCCCAAGCAATGTGTCCAGGGCAAAACTTGAAAAAATGAAATTAGCTAATATAAAAACTGCGTTTATGCTTTCGATTGTAACTCTTGTTTTTATTGTAGCGTTCCTGCCTTCGTGGCTAGTGGCTTTGCGAGTTTTCAAAATGAATGTGGTTGTTTTCTACATGTACTTCTCATACAATGTGGCTAATCCCGTTATCTATGCTTTCATGAACAACACGTTCAAAGCTCAGCTGAAAGAGCTGTTCAAGTGTAAGTCTTAACAGTGAAAATCCATCTCGTCAAAGACAACAACAACTTGTAATACACAAGATAATAAGATCCTTAAAATGCCCGCCATTACTGTAATATGGCGTGTGTACATAATTCACAGTAACCATCGAGGACATGTCTTGTAGATTGTCTGAAGGCGCTGGAATGTTTTGAATGTTTAGCGGAAATGGATTAAATTCTGAAAATGTACCAGTAATACATGAATGCATATCCGAAAAGGTTTTTCAGACGTTTCTATAAAAAAAACGTTACACAAAAATGACCTAATGGACTCTACTTTTTCCTCGTTAGGTTTTTATCATTGTTACAATTATGTTACATTTCATTTTTCTATAATATTTTCACTGCAACTTTCAGTCATGCATGCTTTGAGAAAAAGTTCAAACGGGAAAGGATATAACCGTTTCCTTCATGCGTTTTTTTTTTTGTTCTTTCGATCGTTAATTTATAATAAACTCCCGTGGATTATATATATAGGGGTTGATGCAATCGAGTCACTCACTGATTTAACATGAGAATAACATGTAGACCAAAGATTATATTAGAAAATATTTGCCAAAATGTATGAAACATTTTCTCGTAACACACTCGTTTGTCTGACGTGTTTTTTGGCCCGATTGTCTATAGTCTCGCATTGTGACTGGCAGACATCCCACACTATCTTTGTCATTACAAATGAACTTATATTTTTTCTGATATTTGAGTTAATTCATATGATCATCTTATAATCCGTGGGTCATCGTAAATCCGGACCAGATACGCAGTTAATTTGGAAGCTGAACAGAAACATATTATTATGTAATTATTATTGAAAAAACTGACCGGATTTATGGGATTTCATTTATCATTTTTATCTGCTTTCTCACTCTTCCTCTATATGCGCCTAATTAAGAGCTTTCTGGGAATGGCACTTTTGAAAATAGGTTTTGCGCAAGTCTTAATCTCCTACGATACTCCATTGGTTACGCCCACTTGCGTCCTCTGCACAGAGCGTAAGTGAGCGTGACCCCTGGAGTAGCGATGATGGTCGTAATGGGCTATTTTAGAAGTGTATACAATAATTTTGAGCATAATTGTAATGTAGCATAGGAAAAATATGTTAAATATGACCATATGTTATCGTGAAAAATATTGTAAATCGCTGATATATTGCTAGTTTGCAAATAAAATCAACTGCGATTTAATATTGATTCAAAGACATTTCTAAATGTATATTTTCCGTTGTAAGTCGGTTTCAAGAATTAATATTAGGTTAGGTTCATAGGGTTTTGTATCCTTTTAACAGGTAAGGTATTTAAAGGCCGTGCCCAATGCGTGAAATAAATGCGTTTATGTTTGAGGCATTTTTGTACATTAAAAATTCTCGGACGAAACAGTCGTTGTTGAATGAAAGGTAGCATTCCTGATTTTTTTTTATTTCATAGTAGTTTCAAAAGGTGTGTTCTCATGTTTTGTATTAACAATTATTTTCATGTTCTTGTAATACAGCATACTAGACGTAATTGAAATCTTTAAACGTAACGGAACCTCGCAGTGTTGTGATCGCCGCAATAGTGCGGACATAGTATCGTTTTGAAAGAAAATATTAGCTCTCAATCGTGAAGGCAATATGAATTTTGTACTGAAGCAGAAGATGGTACGTTTTAAAGATTTATTTTAGGAAAATACAATTCTTAATTAGTTAAAGCCTGAAACGGACACTTCTAAGAGAGGGTGTTTGCTCTCGTGTGCTTTTTTTGTATTACAAGATCTACCTATTGTTTTATTATGTCAGTGCTTGCAATCCACTGTTTGATTTTATTCCATGTTTTTTTTACAGCTTAACGGAATGTTTTCCTTTTGTATTTTTTAGTCGAGATCTTGCTAATACGTATACATCTTTATTATGCTCAGCAGGTATTTGCAAAATTCATAAAATGAGAGGAACATATATATAACATTATGTAAACAATGCTGTTGCATCATTTTGACATTGTTATAAGGGACCAGAAATCCCTTTTAGCTATATTGATATATTGATAATATATGCTTCTAATCTTGAATGTACAGAATTTGCATGATGGTGAAGTTATAATGAATTTGACACCCGCTTCATCTCATTTCATGTTTAAACTTTTTTCTCTAAAATACCTACATCATAGATAGAACACGTGACGGCATGTGCTATTTAAAATGATTTACTTCTGTACTACCTTACATAAGTCTAACGAAGATCGGTGAATGTACGTGCGTTCAGCTGATGAAACAGAAGAAGTACGAGAGTATCCCGAGTTTTTTTCTTGTTTGATTACATGATTCTTTTTATGGAAATATATTCTCTATGATGTTTCTTTTAGTGTTTTCCAGCAGCCAACATGTATTTTGCTTTACACCACCTCATTCTAATATCTTGTTTGTTCCTTAGTTTCAAAGATTAATATTATTCTATGAATATGATATAAAAACAAAAAGTGTAAGAACAATGAGACTTAAAATAATTATTATTCTTTTTCACAACAATGTTTTTTTAACTTTAGAACTCAAATTGGTTTATTTATAAGTACAGTCAATCTACGGATATTTCCGGACCTGTTGCCTTTTTTACAACTTATCATCGCGAACAAGTTACTACCTACAATATAATCCGTTCTGCTTTTGGTGTTGATTTGATACTCACAAGTTTGATTTTGTAAAAAGGATTAATGAAATGTGAATAATTCAAAACAGTCATTACCTAAATGTAGATATAGTAATCTATACCCACATAGTTTGGAAATTGAGGGGATATCGGTTTCCAATTTAAACTGAAAATTACATTGCATGAATATTTAAGTCATATTAGCAGACAATACATTATAAGCAAGCGTACTGCAGGGTGGAACAATATACGCCCTTTCAATGCCGATCTAACCTATTTAATAATCTTATGATGCATCATTGTAACTATTCCGGAAAAACGATGAAAGAAAAAACACATGACATACTGCACCTGACCAACTTAAGGCATAAATACATTTCACGTATCCTTTATAACATATAGAAAATATTTGCATAGGAATTGTCTCACTTTGTACATATTTCAAACCAAATTAAAAATGCCAATAATTAATTCACCTTACACCTTTAAAACTAAAGGTATTTTTATTGTCTTTTAATTACTGGGAGATTTATAAGACGATGTGTTAATATTGACAAAATCTCATCAGAATCCTGTGATATTTGACATAGTTGCTTTGCGGAAACTGCTGATCAATCAGATAGAAGCTTACTAATAAATTATGCGCAGGTTTTACTCATCTTTGTGCTTAGTCACTGATATTGTATAAAAAAAATATTGACCAAGTTTCATCAGAATCCAGTCATATTTGACAAAGAAACTCAGAAACTCAACCAATCAGACCACCTTATGCATATTATTTTGACTGGATTTCGCTCGACTAAACTTAAAATCAGTCTTCAAAGTCATCGAAATCGACAACTTTATTTTAGAAATCGACTATTCAGATCACTGACCGCTAACTCGTTATGCGCGCATTTTGCTCAACATTCAATTTAGCGTCGGTCTTTGTCAAAATGTTAATGCATACCGAATTCCATCTAAATCGAACGATATATAAACTAGTGATCTTGCGGAAACGTAAGCTTTGACGGTCGGACGGACGCTCCAAATGCCACAATACGGCAACAACACGACTACTGTTAGATGTTCAGTTGTGTAACCGCAGACCGTACCATTACCGTTCATACATCGAGCGCACAACATTTCCTTAACTGTGCGAATTAATAGTCGCTCGCCCTGATCTTGTTGTCCGACAAGGTAAAATCAGTGGATCGATTTTACGGTATGAAAAACATCCGAAAGGTTCATTTGAAAAAACAAATTGCATCGCATACATATTCTTTATCAAATTGGTATATTTTACACTTCATATTAATTCTTCAATGCATGTAACACGTTAATGCAGTGACCGTAAAGTTGTCAATAAAGGGGACGTGTCAGGTACAGTAGAAGTAAACGTACGTAGTGAAATTCATGAAATTAATCGCCAACTAAACTTCTGTAATGCTTTGTATGGAGATTGCACACCTTCTCTACGGTTTAGTAGTCATATCAGGAATGGTATTTATTCATAGGTCATTCCTTTTTCGTAAAAAATATCGCACAGTTGTGCGCACACAGGACCTCGTGTAACGTTGTGCAACCCCACAAATAAATCAAATTAAGTAAATTAAAATTGCATTAGAGTGTCACGATATGTCAATTAATTCAGGTAAAATAGTAATTGTATGATTTACATTTTGTGGCGAGAACATCTTTTTGTAAGGAGATGGATGTCACAGAATGGTAGCATACATCTTTAACTAGCCTAGAATGTGTATATAATTATAATACTCTTAACACGATAAAGATATTTCAAAGTTCCGCAAACGTCATGATACTTTAAGTCGTTGATATTTAAAAAGTAATTCAAACTGAAAACAGTTGTATTTTTTTATATGCAGGAACTATTTAATTATAATCTATAAAATCGAATTTCATCTTAACATTCATATTAGGCTTCCTCAATATTCCAATGGTGAAAACAAATTTAGCACTTTCTATTTTTTTTATGTATGAAGGTGAATTACATTGACAGCGAATATTGCTTAGTAAACTACTTAATCCTTATATGTAAAGGGCGACATTTAGACTTGACAAATATGAATGTTGTCAGTAAAAAGGGAAAGTCGGACTTTCAATACAATATTTCAGTATATTATAAATGAATAATAGATCGCACGACTTTACTTACTGGTAAAGTAATTTGGATGTCTTGTTTAATTTCCAGTATTCGTACAATACGTCTTTGTTGCATATCCTTATACATTAACATATAATATCTCTCTGACGTTAGCACTCATTTTTACAGCCGTTCACACAAGATCAAAACAATATTTTCCAAAGTTTGATTACGTGATAAATGATAAGGCAAATATTTTCATTTAATGAATAAATATATCTATCGATACACACTTACCATGTTATTATGGATGAGAAAATATATATATTATGCGCTACCCCAAATTGATGTCCCGGTCCAGTTTGTTTACAGTCTCAGTTAAATAAAATCTAAGATAACTGAAAAGTTTATTTGTAAAATCGATATAACGGAGTATGTCTAAATGTGTAAGTTTTGTTTTAAACAGATTTGTAACATATACGATACATCGCAAAAATGTCAATATAACATTGCACAACCTCATATAGCCTTATAGTTTATAAACAACTGTGTCTTTGCTATAAACCTATAAATACCACGCACCGTGAATGGTATTTTGTAATTTACCTTGTTTCATTAGTTTTTCTTCTTGACAAAAACATCACATAGTTTGCCCTTATGTAAGCTGTATGATATATATATATATACGTTTTATGAAGGTGAAATATATATACGTTTATTGCAAGTGTTTGTTGTTTGTTTTTATTCTGTCTAGATCACAGCTACCGGTGTAAATATTGAGAGATGACAGGAAGTCGGTAAAGGAACTGTTCACTATAATTTGCAGCGTTAGATTCTCCAAGGGAATAAAATATTTCTAGTGTTTCGAGCGTTGCATTCGCTATTCTCTAACAACATATTATTTATGAAAAAACCCATTACCATGATCAAGCTCAAACTGAGATATTGATGCTAGGGGAGATAAAATAATGATAATCAAAAGAAAAAAGAAAGATGCAGTGGGGAGGGAGACAGCAGATCGCAACAGATTGTGTGTTCAATTTCAAGTTGTAATTCATGCAAAAATGTGTTTCCAAATCAAATTGTCTCTTATTTTCTGCGCGAAGCTATGCTATTTTTATATTGTCAACGTCGTAACTACAATATCGTGAATTTCATCGTCATTTACAGTTCAGTTTGGTGTTATTAGATTTAACGTCCTACTAACAGCTAAGGTCATCTAAGGGTGTTTCCTCATGGTGTGTAATGTATGCATGCGAGTACGAATCATGGCGACAGTATGTTGGGAGGTTTTGCTTCCTTTTGATATGATGCCAATGTGAGTGATACCTCATTGAAATGCCATGCCTACTTGGCACCTAGCACAGTAATCGATCCGGTCACATTGTACTGACAACGGGTAAACCAGTTGATGCGATTACCCAAAATGCTTAACGTCAAGCACTATAACTGATTTTGGTATGGCTTGGCATGCCATTCTCACATATACATCGCAAGTGTTGCAATGGAGGCAGCAGGTCAATTTTGGTCTCTTGTTTTTTTTATAGGTTTTGTTTTGTTTGGTGTTATTTTGTTAATCGTCCTAATACCGTGTCTCCATGTGTGTATTTCATGCGTGATTGGGTGTTTGTGTACTGTAGAAGGGGTATTGTGCACGTCTTCGAAACAACCAGGGTCATATGAGCATGGAAAGTAGACAGACCAGGAATTGGACAGGATAAATGAAAAGCCACAAAAAGATATTCATTTTGGTTGCATTTGGTCCCAAAAAGCGGACATAAAAAGAAATCCCCAAATTCTGCCGGGGGTTTCCACATAAGTTGCTTCTTTCAAATGATGTCATGGGTAATCGGCAGGTTTTATTTCCAAACTGCAGGGATGTGGCTCACTTGCCCACATAATTAAGCCAATGAGTCTCCGAAACCCCTACACGCATTCAACGCAAATTAGAAGGTTATTTTTAAGACAGGTTTGTCTATGTCAGGGGATAGAACCCGTACCTTTCCTCGCATTGTCAAACACTAAACATCCAAGTACTAAGCAGATGACAATGAAGAAAAAAGTTGGAGGATCCATGTATGTAGGACAAGGTAAGGATATATGTTTATACATTTGTACTAGACCCTGTGTAGTGTTGCTTAACATCTGGGACAACTTACTCATATGACATTAGCTGTTGTGAAAACGAAATACCTAAAAAGCCAGAGCTAGCTGAACAACCCACATACACAACGATTTTGTATCACAAGAGACAATTGAGCAAATAGACTGCGGAACGATCAAGATTACTAAATGGCTTCACTACGGGGATTTCTTCAGTAGCGGAATTGCGCATCTTTATACGACAACGATTCGAACATACAGTATAATGAGTAGGTCAGCAGGGCTACAGTAAGCGAGCAGGGCTAGACTATGACACTGGATCTCTATACTTCTGCTCTAACTAACTGAGCTACCTGGTCAACGGAACTACCGGACCTTATTGCTCTTGTTATATTTCACACGCGTGATTGTGGAGAGAGCTCTATATATATAAATACAACATCAAAGTGGAATCCATCAGCCCTCCACTCCACTCTATTACAGTCGAAGAGACGAGAACACATTTAACTAGTTTCAGAAGCCACTTTTATCAAGCTTAATGTCGCATAACGTCAAAATTATCCAATATCAAATTTACCAACAAGATTATACACGTTATATCCTCTATTGTAATGTTAATTTAAAGTTAATGCGTCAAATTTTAAATATGATCACGAAACTATCTTTAAAAAATCTTACTTCCATTAGTTCATAAAGCTTTTCGTTTCCGTGGTGAAGAGATAAGGCGTGTGTTTTAAGGTTTCAACGATTGAGGGAACCTTCATATAACATAAAAAGAGACTAAAACAGATTGAGAATCACCACATTTTCAATTTGCACTTGATGAAAATGTGATATTTTTTAACTGTAAAAACCATTTGTGAACATTACAAAAAACCTTTCAAGCATCTAATAGTATGAACGACTTATTACTGTGCTGCCGGATATATTAGGATAGAAACAAACCCATTTTGCAAGCTTTCTGTTTCTGTCTATTAATAATATTTTGTACAGCAGTGACAAAAACATCCCTTCCAATTCCGATACTTAATTGTAATTTTAGCTTCAAAAAGAATAAACAGTTGCATAATTTTGCTTACGGATGTACAAAAACAGCAAGAAATATTCGTACAAATATTGTTAAGGTCATATGTTTAATCATCGACAACGTTAGCTGTACGAGAGATCGACATGTCCTTAGCCGACCAATTAAACATAACAGCTCTTAAGTAAAGCCGGTAAAACGATTTGAATTCCAACACCTGTTTGACAACATTTCAGTAATTGGAAATTTTATTATGAGTTTTTCCTGAAGCGGTTTCTGAAATACGCAAGCTTTCGGTTGCTTAATTTTATCTATTTAACTATAATTTGTCCCAAAGTGTAGAAAATTATCCAATTATACGCTTAATTATGGCCCTTAGCATCACTACATATCCATGTAATGGCTTCATGGATAAAGGCTCATTAAATGATGTTTTTTTTCGATTAAGGTACACTACAGGGGATCAAATCTGTGTTGCGTACTTAACCGAAATCAACCTAAATATGGAAATTTAATGTAAACTTAAACGATAACTTGTACGTTTGCGTTGGTAAGGTTCAAAGGCCTAGGGTTTGTCCGTGGGGTTGAACGTCCTCGCAACAGCCACGGTCAAAGACGGGTGCCTAGGGGGACAGTGCCGAGAAGAGAAAGTAGACAGAAAACAAAAACGATCCCAAATGTTGAAATAGGTGCAGCAGATCAATTTCGGTTCGGTTTTATCCATCTCCTCTTAGTAAAACATACAGAAGACCATGTCGAATATGTGAAAACAAGAAATATGTATTAATACAGTTTTTCATGTTTTAACATATTGGGTTATTTTCACATATTGGTACGCTACATTGCCTCCTATATGACAGGACTTAGATTTTACAGATACATCATATAAACAGATTCATAGCGCTTTTATTGTTGTATTTATATATACACAGGAATAGTATGAGACAGTGTGCATTCTTTCCCGTGGGATTAAACTTGTAAGACCCAGACGATCTCAGAAATAACACAACACGTCTATCTTCGCTCGCGTTCCTTAACTATTCGATTTGTAGACCTTAATGATGTTAAACAACATCAAGGATAACAATAATCGGATTGTACAGCTGAACTGGTTTATAGTTAAACACGAAAATTGAGCCAACTTTCTTGCCACTGATCACGCGATCCTATATAAAGAAAACACGCCGATGCTACATCGATCAAATTTCTATTTCATTTAAACGGAAGGCCGTTCTTAATATAAACAGATTCAAGCCAACTTCAAAAGCATCAATAGTTTAATGCATTTTTACCAAAGATTGAATTTATCGAGACTTTATTTGTGTAAGTGGTAAATATAGCATAGCGAGATTTAAATTGACTTTCTAAATATAAAGCTTACTTCGAAAACAGTATTTTGTTTTTTAAAGAATCTTCCGTACATTAAATGGAAATTTATTACACATTTGTTTTATATCTGATGCCAAATTCTTACTTAAACACGACAACCTTCTCCGACAAAGTAAGTCAATAACAGATCAATTTTGCATGGAAATGTTTAAATCAATACATTAACGTGATAGGGTCGTTTGAAAACATTTTTGACAGATTCAATCCGACTGTAAAATACGCTTATAAAACCCACAGCAATCATATTTATATGCCCTACCCCATTAATACAATGAAGCACAGAAAGTAGTTGCACAAGGCGAAATATTTGCAAAATGGATCAAAGTGAAAAAAGCATCAAGTGAATCGATTATTAAATTTGTAAAAAAAAAAAAAAAAAAAAACACGCTACCAGATTTTAAATTAAAGGACAACAAAATAAATGAAGTCAAAACAAGAACCAACCGTACTGCTTAACGCTCAGCATTTTGGGAAATGGCAACAATGGGTTCAACCGTTGTCAGTCTAATATGACCGGGCAAGGAGGCGAATACGCCAACATACCCTGTCTCCGGCATAATACCCATGAAGGCACGTGATATGACGTTAAACCCAATACAATCAATCAACCAAAAGCAAGCTAATAATATAACAATTAGAAAGCTTACGGTTGTAAGGAAACGTTTGAAAACTCACAAAATTCCACATTTTGGTTGTTTGTGCTACAAATGTACCTGTTCGGTAGTGTCCGTATTTGTCGATATTTGGTGTACGTGTCCAGGACGGCCAGGAGTAACAATATAGTTCCACTGAATTGTCGGAATCCAAGGTCTCCGCTCTCAAACACTCGACAAAATCGAAGGCTCTAAACACGCCATCTTACGGGTAATACGAGTAGTCCGATAGTTTTGGGGAGATACATAGAATAAATGCGTACAACCCTGGAATTTAAAATATGTATCATCTTCGGTTCGAACATCTTTGACACGACCTACAGTCGGTGAAGAAAAATATTTTTACCTTTCATATTATATCGGGTTTTTTGAACTTTTATAAGATCACAGTGGCAAACTAATTGAATTACAACATTTATTCAACAAGATCACAGTGGAAAAATAATTTGAATCAATGCGTCGATAACAAATTACGTTCTATTAAACCTGAAATCGGTGAATGACATCCTAGCTACAGAGAGAGGCGCCGATGCGAGGTTGTCATTG